AGCTTCCTTGCCTTGCTGCTTGCAGCCCTGGGAGGCGGGTGGGCAGAGCTCGCCGCCCCTTGCACCTTCTCGCTCTGGAACAGGCCTAGAGCGTGGGAAGGAAGCGTTCTGCAATGAGGTGAAACCGTCAGTCGCTTATTTAGTTCTACTTCTAATTCAGATCTGCACAACAAAACCAGGATTAGCCCCTAACATTCGACTGCCTGTTTCTTTTCCCCATGACCTCTAAGCTGCCTTCTCTGTTGTCCCGCTCCCCCCACAGATCTTGGGAAACGTTTCCGAGTTTCAGCGAGTCGTCAGCGTGCTGCAGGAAGGGGTGGATTTTGATATCGATGTCAATGCATCTGTCTTTGAAACTAACATTCGAGGTGAGGTGGGTTTTTCTGTGGTATTTGTGCTAGACCTCCTTTCTGTACAATCCTCTGACCCATGTGCAGAGATACTGAGAGGCGGCCATCAGAGGGAGTGTGTACAGGGACACCTCAACACACAGAAAAGTCCCAAACAAACGTCACTTCCTTGTTGTCCTTACACGTCACCTTTTTGGTCCCTGCCTCAACACAAGCGGAAGTAGATGTGGCAGTTTCAGTGTTCTAGTGCCACGTTTTGAGCTTTGGAAAGAACATCTTCTCCACTGAAACAGTATAAATTTTATACTATCTTTTCTTTTTTTTTATGTACTGTTTTGGAATAGAGGTTATTAACTTCATGCTTTAGCATCATAAAGTGAAATTTGTCTTTTTTTTCTTGAAAACCACAAAGGCCTTTGGAGTCTATAACCAGTTTAATGCTGAAATGCTTCTGTACCATCCAGCTAAAAGATGCTGTCGGGGAACAAAACTGTTAGTTATGCTCTTTTTGGTCTCTCTTCTCAAATATTGCTGAGCCAATTTTTGCAGCAGTGTAATTTCTCTGTGTTTGTGCTTGTTATGTGACGGTAGAGAAGCCTGTGCAAAGGGCTGACAGCTCACTGCCTCCGTCAGTGACGCTGAAATTCTTGACTCTGGCCTAGACATTTTTCTCCAAGGAACTTAGAAGGTGTACTCCGTTACTGTACACAAATGTACTCTTAAGCTGTCTGCAAGAAATGAAACGGAATTCTTCTCCTAGAGGTTTGTGTTCGTTGTACTGTTAGTTTGTGGGTTGTCAGGTATAGTAGAGCGGGTAGGATCTGATGCTTCTGAAATAATCATAGAATCATAGACTGTTAGAGGTTTGAAGGGACCTCTAGAGATCATCTAGTCCCACCTCAACATGAGGAGAAAATTCTATACTGTGAAGTGACGGAGCACTGGCACAGGCTGCCCAGGGAGGTTGTGGAGTCTGTCTCTGGAGACATTTGAAACCTGCCTGGACGTGTTCCTGGGTAACCTACTCCAGGTGACCCTGCTCTGGCAGGGGGTTGATGATCTTTTGAGGTCCCTTCCAGCATTCTGTGATTCTAATGGAAGATGCTTATCTGCTCCCTGTTTGAGACCGCACCTCGAGTACTGTGTCCAGTTTTGGTCACCACAGTATAAGAAGGACATTGAGGTGCTGGAGCGGGTGCAGAGAAGGGCAACAAGGCTTATGAGAGGTCTGGCAAACATGCCCTATGAAGAGCGACTGAGGGAACTGGGTTTGTTTAGTCTGGAGAAGAGGAGGCTGAGAGGAGACCTTATTGCCCTCTACAGCTACCTAAAGGAGGCTGTAGTGAGGCTGGTGCTGGTCTCTTCTCTCTAATTACTAATGACAGGACAAG